GTTGTTAATTTACATATTAAAAAAAGAAAAAAAAGTTTGGCAACACATTTGAATAATTTACAGATATTAAAAAAAACAGAAATTTTTGTGGGGATGTGGGTCTGTCTATGGATATGAAATCAATAGTTTCATTATTAAGATTTCCATAGGTACTTGATTCAAATTGATTTTCTTTAGAACCAGACCACGCTCATTTCTACTTGAAATTCTTGTTTGAAATCATTTGTTTATAATTATTTTTTTGAAATATAATTTTTAAGATCTAATGTTGCACGAACTCAACAAAGTCAAGTAGTAAGATCCAAATATGGACACCCATGCTTGATCAAACTTTAAAGAAAGAAATATATTTCTTGCACGTATTTTTTAAAAAATATATGTAATTTGGGTAAGTCCTTTTATTCTCAATTTCTTATTCACATAAAAATTTAATTATCATAAAAATAATTCTTAGTGTATAATTTACTTATTTTTCACCCTAATTATATTTTAAAAACTACATATCTGTTTATAAAATATGTGGCCTGTCCCGTCCCCCAATTTTATTTCAATTTTCCAACTTGTTTCTTCCCTTACCCAAACGATGACATCATAAACACGTCACTCGACAATACCATCCAATCAAATTAGCCAGAGTGGATCCTCAAGCGTCCGATTTTGAAACACCAAATGCATCGAATTATCCGACCTCGTCACCACACCCAACCGCTAAGATATTTTCTTCTCTCCCCTCTCCTTCTCAACAAGTGTTTACAAAGAATTGAAATTTTTATTATTGTCTATATATATAGTACTGCATTATTCTTCAAGCTTTTACTTCATCAAAAGGTACGCGTCAAATCAACATTTACATGAAACTCGTAGAATTTGATTTGTACATAAAACATTCAGGATCTTGAACTAATCGAGTGATTATTTATCGGTAAGTAATCATTTTCCTTTTTCTGTTACAGAATTAATCATAACTCATATCTTTTTATTTTCTATAGTTTTGCATATTGTAATCTTCGTTTATCTTTTCTTGCTTTGATTATCGTAATATTATTTACATGCATTATATAGTGCACTCGTCTTTTGGTTGTTTCATATATATATATTTTTTGAATGACTGAATAGTGAATACATCTGAATTTACTTTCAGAATTAAATCTACTTGGTCGAAATACAGAGCTTGAAAGCAGGTAAACATATTTTTTTTTCTTTTGTTTGAAGTTCTTGTTTTGGTTTCTCACCTTTTTTTGAATGATTATATAATATTTATGAAGTTTACTTTCCTCATTGTAAATCCGTATGTCTATTTTTCTCGACTCTGTGGCATATAAGTTATGATGTTAAATTTTGTGGGGTTAAAATTGACCCAATCCCCCCAGATTTGGAAATCAATCCTACAAAATGAACACCCTTGTATATTAGTCATTATATAACTATTAAGTGCTAAAGTCAATGAGGCCGAAAAATAACTTGAG